TTTCCATCTGTGATATCAGTATTTTTGACAGCCAGGTGTGGCCATAAAATGGATGTAAGGAATAGATTTTTGCTATCGCTTTGTTTTTTATGCATCATGTTTTCGCTCTTTACAATATTTATTGTTGTCAACACAGATACATGTAAGTATGTATTATAATGAGAATGTTATTGCTTTTTCATATGATGCTGCTTGGACCAATCGGGTTTACTAAATTTTGTTATTAATAAGTGACAATATCTTAACAACCAGTCATTGACACCAGGATTATGCGCAGTATGAATTTGGCGGTCTAAATAATCTACTGCGCAGAATCCTGGTGTCAGTAATTGGTTTCGGATCGTTGTTGGAACAGACCTTTAGTATTGTACATTGTACACGGCTTACTATGGCTGCGAAACTATTTTTAATATGACAATTAACAGGCATCTAACGCTCGAGCCAAACAATTGCATATTTAGGGGGGAGCGGTCCGAGGCACGAGGAGTAAGGACCTCTTGGTATATCTGACTTTATTCTTTAAAGTGAGAAACGACTTGAGATGACAAATAACACTATTTAAGCGCTGCACATTCAGGTCCGTAATTAACGAGTGGAATATAGTATATGTAGTTGAGTAAATCCAAACCGCTAATTTAACGTAGAACCAAATAAAAACTGTATGATTGTTCCTTGTTTAATTTTCGGTCTGTGCAGAACTTTTTTATTCATGAAAAGTTTAAAATTTTGCATTTTTATGATACAGTTAGTTGGTTTTTAACCAACCATAATAAACGTAAAATAAATGAGAATCAGAAATTCTCATTTATATTTATTTCAACAAAAAAAACTTGTATCTCGTGCAAAAATTCTTTTATTTCAAAAATGCAAAGCGCTTTTGGTATTACGCAGTCTTCAGTACTTATTGTCAGTCAAAGGTCTTCAATAATATCAATTATCGTGTTTTTATACATTAAATGTTTGAGTGTCTCAACTTACTGAATCAACAATATCATTTTATTTAATACTCGTAGATATTTATGCAAGCAGTTACGAAATGTCCTTATTTTATGTAACAAGTTATATTGGTAGTTGCCGATGCATACCTTCAGTCTTTTTATTGACAAATAGAAAATCATATTAGTTTATTCCCAACAACATGTAGTGTGCTTATATTGCTTGTTAAGGTTATTCAATTTTTAAGAAAGTTGGTTATTTTGTCGTGTATTGTGTTTTCGCAATTGGTTAATGAATTTTTCGCTATTAGTTTTATAATGTTTAACATTATGCAACTGGTTGCGTAAAGTAGACACTTGCTACGATTACAAAAATATCACATATTTCAAAATTAGAAAAAAAAATTTTGGTTTATTTCTTGTAAATTTTTCAGCCACTGTACGTCATTTTGCTCAACTTTGCGGTGACGTGGACTTTAAGATGTTTTCTCTTTTCCTTCTATTTTATTTTAAATTGGTCATATTTGTGAAATTTGAATTTTTACTCGATATATTTATTCGTTTATTCCATCGAGGTATGATTTATTTACATTAAACCAAACAACAGCAATGGCGCGATGTTGTCGAAACGTCAAATATCAATCATTAAAAGAACGCTTTAATTCAAAGCGTAAATTAGGTAGGCACTTAAATGATTTAAAGTGTACTTTTTCAATAAATCTATATAATATGAAATCGATATAATTTTTAATGTGTCCCTTCAATATTGAAGCTTTTTTCATTTTGATTACGAAATTAGTCATAAGTGTAACAGTATCAAGTACGGTTAGTTGGGTGGGCTACCATTTCAGAAAGGTCCACTTGCCTGCTTATATTCCCTCATCTGACTGCAGAAAGTGGCACGTCTTGTGTTTTTGCTTGCTATTTGAAGTTTGGGAGGGAAGTGAATAACATGTACTATATCCCCGTGGTGAAACCTGCCGTGTAACCTGTCAAATGCAAAATAATGTTTCTTATCAATGAAGTTTTGCGGTTTTACTTCTTCCGATGTAGGGTTATCCCTACACTTACACCAAAAGTAGCAAAACCGGACGACAGGAAATGCTTTCAAAGGGATTTTTTTATTGCTATAGACGTCGAGAAACAAATTATTTTATTACCAGCAAAAGAACGAAAAAATCCATTGATAAGAAACATTATTTTGAATTTGACAGCTCCCACTCCCGAATTTACGATAACATCACTAATCATTAGTATTTTATAGCGTAGTTTGCTGACCAAAGGAAAGAATAATTATATGAAAAGTTTAATATATGTTTTGTTATTACAGGGCAAACTATGTTTTTTATTATAACGATGACCCTATTTGGCATTTCATCATGTAAGTATTTTTTTGTAAAGTTTTATTTTTGCATACCTCATATAAGCATTTTAAAAAAATTACAATATAAGTACCTATAACAAAATCAAATAGACGAGAAAACTGACATTTAATTCATTCAATTGAATTTCTTCTTTTGTGACCACCAATATGCAGACTTTGGGGTAGGCTTTGTAAGTCCTGAGATTACACTTTTGCATCTTCTGCCTTGCAGCTCCGCAATCTGGAGTGGTTGTGAAATGTGCACAAATACTACTATGGTTCGTGCTAATTCTGCTTGAAGTGTATCCTTATATAATTTTTTTGATAATTCAAAACCTGGTGACTTGTTTGTAATTAGGCCAGGTTCTGGACTTGGGAGGAGGATTTCTGAATCCATACTATCTGCCGGTTGCTGAAAATTTTGGAATATGCTTCAGACAATTACTTTTTAACTTTTAATAAAGGCTACTTTTCTAAGTATCTTATGCTACGGTTACACTGTAAGCGATTTTGCGGGAATCATAATTCGCGTGTATATACCCTAAAGCTACGGTTACACTGCAAACGAACTTGCGCAAACTATAGTTCGCGCGTATACGTCCGAATTTGGGCGAACAAGAGAGGTTTCTGGTTCAGATTCGTTAAGCAAAATTTATAGCGATTTTATGCATAATAACAAACGCAAGTGCGGTGTGTGTTCTATTATGAATGTTAAAGAAGAATTTTATTTAGCAGAAAGTGTAATACCGAAACTTTATTTATAAAAAGAAAGAGACCGTTCTGGGTTAACGAAATTTTCTGGATTTATCCCTATTATGGTACTCTTTAAATTTTTGATCCCACAGTGCCCTTCTGTCAAACTCTAGTAGGATTAATTTTTCATTATCCATATTATTTAGGAGTGCGCATCAAAATTTGGATAGTGAATTACCGCAAATACATGTATAGAAAATCATGCCATTATATGCAGTTCGCGCGAAAAAACAAACCCGTTTGAACATCTAGCGACTAATAACGATTCAAGTGACTAATTTGCTGGTACTGTAACCATACACATTTTCATTACATCGGTTTGTTTGTTTGTTCGCCCGAATTCGGACGTACAAGCACGAACTATGGTTTGCACGAATTCGCTTGCACTATAACCGTAGCCTTATTCGCCCGAATACCTAATGGTTTCTGGTGTTTCTAGAGTTTGCGCAATTGAAAGAAAATTTATCAGTTTAATTTAAGCTCTATGATCCCAGCGCTGTTATTGAAGAAACATTTTTTGTATTTGAGAATTCACCAGTGAAACTATTTGTATTTGACAAAAGAACTAGACAACAGTTAACGAAATATATGCAAATCGTCTTTCCCAAATTTTCGCGATTTCTCACGGTTGTGGTATCCTTTGCTTCGATGGTCCCACAATAACCTTCTGTCAAATACGTGAGTTCGCATGATTTCACGCGATTTATAATTCGCGCGAAATTGCAATGGAGTAATTTTACATTTTTCCCTTTCTTAAACTGCTTCAAAACTATATTATTTTTTAAAAAGTTTAATTATTCAAAATTGTTTATTTTATGTATTTGTGCTTTTTAGGTTTTCATCCCTTCTATGGCATGACGAACGTTGCGTATTTGTCGAAATTCCCAACATTTTATATGGAATTAAATATATTGGGAACGGCCATTAGTGGCTTATTTAGCACAATTTTGCAAATTGTGTCATTAACTGTAGGGCATACGTCAACCCAAATAGCTATGATCTACTTCTGTAGTGGCTTGGTAAGAAAATTAATATTTTTGATTTGTATAAGAGCCTAACTCTGATTCATTTGAAACTATGCAGTCCCAAACATAATTTAATATCACCTACCTTTATTTTTGAAGGTATACAAAATTTTTTTTAATAACATTTTTCAGAATGAATTTTTATGGTAAAATGCAAAATTTCTGAAAAATCGGCCCACTTGGTTTTTTTGTCATAGATACTAAAATGTTTTACTATCAAGCTAAGCCAAATAAATAGTAATGTCGTTTAACTGTTTATTAAAATATTTATTTCACCATAAATCCTAATTCTCTAGTAACAATTCCATAACTTTATTAAACTTGGGTGTAATTTATTAAATTATTTATTTAGACAAATCACATTCTTTAGCTCTGTAAAAGTTTGTCTAGCCCATAAATTTATAGTTATTTATGGTACTAGTGTTTTATGATGAAAATATGTCACGCGAGAAAGATTTATAAATTCTCAAGTGACTTAGGAAACATAACACACGAGTGGCATACAATGTTTTATCCAACAAACAAGTGGAAGAAATCGTTTTTTTATGAGATAATAATTAATAAGTTTTGTGATCAAATCAAAGCTACTTGCGTCTCAGTACCCTATAAATGTCAGAATGACTTGACGGTGACTTTTTTACTTTTTGGTCAAAGTAGAGTGTTTGTTTGGTTGCCACGGGCATGATACATTTTTATAAATAAATTTTGACATTTGTCAGTTTTCCCTGCAGAAACGGAAATTTTTTTGAAGAAAACGTTTTCCTTTAATTTCAATATCAATGTGAATTCTGCTTGTAATAGTAATAAATAAATAGAATACTACTTTAAATATGAACGTTGTAATCCATAACTCACTAGTGAGTTATGGATTATAACACACTAGTGTGTTATTTGATAGTTTACTTGTCTAAATGACATCAATAATGACAGTCATAACTGTCATGTGTTGGATAAAATAATAAATGTTGCAACCGGCTGTAAGTAAACTTAAATTAACAATTTTTCTCGAATGTATTTTTCCACATTTTCGAAACAACTAAGATATCCTGACGCAGTTTTTACTAAAGACTTAAGTAAGGTCATAAGTTCTATTAGGGTATACCGGAAATGAAATTGTAACTTCCGCTTAGAAAAAGCAAAATGGCGCCATTTCAAAGTTCATGATCTAATTTTCTTTAAATTGAACAGTCTTTATAATAATACATTTTTCAAAAACCTCATCCTTTTTCTATACATCGATGTACTTTGTTTCAAAATCTTATTGAAAATTAGAATTACAGTTTATGTTTTAAAATTGTCAGTTAGTAATTTCCTCCCTTTTCCTCCTGACGAATTATTAAGATTTTTTTTAAATATATTGGTCCGTTTTAATAAATGTGTACATGAAGAAGGAAAACACATTGAACTGTAATGTTAGGACAAGAGACTATCTTCTATTTATTTAATGAAACCAAAGTCGAATCGAATATATATATCATCATTTATTTTTAACTTTAATATGGGTTACATTTCAAAGAATTACTGCATTCGTTCATTCATTGAACCTTGCAGTCTATATTGGAAAAACTATCTCATTAAACAAATTACCTCATATTGCTTAGGTGTCAATACAGGTAACCTACTTAATTGCATAGTTCTTCGTTAACAATAATTAGTTACAATATTATGATTTATATTTACAAATATTAAAATTATACTTAAGCCTATTTTAAACTTAATAACTAAGGCCGGCATTACAGAACATTTACTATTAGACTAGCCGGTAATGACAAATTTTGTGCAACGTTTTTTTAATGTATGCATCTTTTAAGTTTTTAACAATTTAATAATGAGGTATATATAATTGCACTTTAAGAAATTATTTCAACTATGTAATAACAAACTATAAAATGACAGAATCTAACTTTGTTCTAAGTTCAACTTTGAGCTACCCACTATAAAATGATACAGTCGCACTTTGGATTCGGTATATTGAAACTTTAAACTTACCCTCTATAAAACGATACAATTATACTTTAGCCGGAGATACACATGCAATCAAGTTGGATTAGTAGCTTGCATCTGTATCTTTAACGTGTGGAGGGTGGGTTACCCCCACGGCACTTAGGCCTCATTAGGCCCAATGGGTATCCTCCTGAGATGATAGGCACCTCCTAGCTGGTGAGCCAGCCTACAGATTTTATGTAGTTGACAACGTCGCCAAGAGGTGCTCCTCTTATATCGGCCGGTGTTAGCCGATACCCGCCGAACACAAATCTTCTAATAAATAAGAGCGTCGGACAATCGTAAAGCATATGCTCGATGGTCTTATCTTCTTGTTCGCACCCTCTGCAGAGTGCGGATTCTGACAGCCCCATGATATGGAGATGCTTTCGTAATTGGCAATGACCAATCAGAATGCCTGTGACTAGGCGCAGATTCTGTCTACTTATAGTCAAGTATTTGTTTGCTGCAGTGTTGTCAGGATAACTTAAGAGCTCCCTGGCAACTCTGCAGTATCTTGTTTCATCCTATCTTTCCTTGAATTTCACAAGGGAATGTTCTTTGATTAGGTCTGTCACTACCGATTTTGTCAGGCCAATAGAAGTGCCAGGTCCAAAAAGTATTTGGTTGGCTGCTTTCTTGGCTAGTGAATCAGCAAGACAGTTACCTTTCGATGTGGTGTGATCTTTGATACATTTTAAGGTGACCACATTGTTGATGGATACTTCGCCCAAAGCTTCGTGACATTCTAGTACTAGCCCTGAGTAAATTAGTGGTCTGTTCAGGGTGAGTAGTGCTTGTCTGCTATCTGTATAGATGAGCATGTTCCTTCCAGTGATATTGTTTATGGTTATTTCTTTTGCTGCTATGAGAATACCCGTAAGCTATGTTTGAACTACACTGGCACTATTGCTCACAGCCCATTTTATGTTTAGGTTTAAGAATCCGGAGTATATTCCACATCCTGAGCCTTGTTTTGTTTTAGAACCGTCAGTGTAGATATGAATCGTACCTGCCACCTCCCGCTCTTCTATTTGTTCTATTATAACTTTATATGGCTTGCATGCCAGCAGCTTGCATGTGTCAGTAGCTTGCAGACTGAGGATATATTTGCAAGTAAAATCGCATGTTAGTAGTTCGTATGTGCCAGTAGCTTGAAGACGGAGGATATATTTGCCAGTTAAAATGCATGCAAGCCTTCAAGTACGCGCATTTCGAAAAGGGTCCAAGTGAATAAAAAAGTATAATATTGTCACTTGCAACAGATTGCGTACTTAAAATTATACAACCTAAATGGAACAGAATTGATACAGGCATTTTCACGTGCCATTTTATTTATATACAGAAATGAATTACTAGAATTCTACAAAAATTCGTACTCTTTATATAAACGAATAAACCTTATCGTCTTTTCATCTTCCTAAAGGAAGTTAGTCGTGATGACGATCACAACTTGCATGCGAGTACTGGCATGCTAGTACCTGTCGTCTATATTCACACATTTAATTTGGCATGCTGTTCGTATCCCCCACCATCCAAATTGCACATTGCATGCCAAAAAATCAAATCTTGTTCAATCTACTTGTATACAAGCTACTTGTATGCAAGTTAACAGATACACATGCAAGTAGCTTGAACATTCAAGTAGCTGGGGCATACAAGTGTACAAGCTATGGGCATGTGTATCTCTGGCTTGGATTAAGCATATTTTAAACAATAAGCCACTACAATATAACAGAATTCCACTTCGTTAACAATACCTGAGTCCCATGTGTCTGGTAATGTGAGAAAACGAATCTAAATAGTTTTTGTTGGTAACTTATACGACAACTAATGTTACTTTCAAATATGTAACGGGGATTCTTTTAGGATTAATAATAATTATTAATTGATTTAAGATAATGGGTACTGTGAATAAAAATTAAGCATTTGCTTTTACTTGAAAGTTGGTAATAAAACGTGCTTGGTTTACAATAAATAAAATTTTTAACTAAGATTAGAAAATTGTATGATAAAGGCTCTAAGAACTTTACGTAAGGTCGAGAAATTTTTTACTCATTTTTAAGTAAAAGCAATTACTTAATTTTTGATCACACTATCCATTAGAAATAAAAGTGAATTAGAACGAACCTTATTTCTCAATATTTGTTTTATTATTACTTATTAATTATTCATTTCGTCAAAAAGAAGCAATACAGTTTTTTAAGGTGAGGTATCAAATTAAAAAAGATTTTCTAAACATTAAAACTTTTAAGATGATATTTTACATTCGATAAACTCGAACTTAAAGTGTCGAATTGTATATAATATATGAAAATAAAATAATGTATACCACCTTTATAATGTTTCTAGACTCAATTCAACATTGGAGTTGGTACCGGGGGTGCGTAACAATTTGCGTTACAAGTGCTGAGAATGCTACGAATGCTGTACCCTCACATTGCAAATATGTGTAAGTTGTCTTGGTACAGCACTGATGTGGGTGGCCCACTTAAGCAACTACAGTCACAGAGCGGTCATCCGATTTCTTAAAATTGCTGGCGTACCTGGCTGCCCCTTAGTTGCTCTTTGTTAAGTATCGTGCACGATCAGCAAAATTTTCGCGGTTTCTGAAAGCGTTTGATAAATTTGTTTTTATTTTTCGGGGTTTCTAATAAATTTTGATCTGTGTTGTACGATATGGCTTTCTGGAGACCTTTTGAGGTAAATGTAGATGCTAATGAATTACAGGTTAATAATGATATTCTCATGAATAATGAAATTCCAATAAATAATGAATTTCAGAATAATGCCGTAAAAATTAATGATGAACTTTTTGTATTAATAATGCAATTCATACTAATGACAATCAAGGTGAAACACAATCTTGGGAATTCAAAAATCAGGACTTATATATTCAACTAATAGGTCATTTTAAATGTTTGCTTGTCATAAATCAGAAAATCCAAATATTTCACAAACAGATGTAATTGAACAAAAATTCCCTTTTCCACAATTTATTTTGTTATTAAACGAGGCGTTGTGATTGAACAGAGTAAAAAAAGAAAATGTGTCATTAGCCGTCGGATAGATGATGCATCTAAGGATGTGATTCGACGAACGGTTTAAAACACGTATAAAGCAAACCAATCCCAACCTTAGATATTCTTTATACAAATCTTTATACACTTCGACAAATTTTAATAACTTGTGGTTTTAGATATAAAAAGTTAGATTGTCGAATGTGCATTATGGAATCGTGTCGAATTGTGAAATTACGGAAAATTTATTTAAGGGAAATTTTTAAATTTAGAAATAGCAATATAAATATAGTTTACTTAGATGAAACATGGTTCAACACTCATGCTGTCGTTCAACGTGGTTGGACAGACGGTTCACAAAATTGTGTTTTAAATGCACCATGCTCGAAAGGGAAACGAGTCATAATTTTACATGCTGGAAATTAAAATGGCTTTGTACCAAACGCTTTGCTACTTTCAGCAAAAAATACCAATAAAGCTCTGCTGGATTATCATGAAGATATGAATGCAGCAGTTTTTGAGAACTGGTTTGCTGAATAACTTTTACCGAATATTTCACCTAATTCAGTCATTGTTATGGACAATGCACCATATCATTCCCGGCAAATTCACAAGAAGCCAAATAGTGACTCTAAGAAATCAGATATAATAAAGTATTTAAAAGATAATAACATTGATATTCCTGCTTCCGTAAAAACAAAACCACAATTGTTACAAATTGTTAAAAGTAAGAATATTCCAATACAGTATTATATCGTTCATTTTGCAAAAGATGGTGGTCATACTGTATTGAGGTTATCACCTTATTATTGTATACTTAATCCAATTGAATAAGTTTGGTCTTCAGTTAAACAAAAAGTGAGGCGTAATAATTTTGCACCTACCTTAACAAATGTTGTTTTCGATAATATTACTGGCGTTTTTAAAGATCCGTCTTTGACTGACGTTTGGAAAAACAGCGTTAGTCACGTCATGTTGTAGCAAGTTAACGAGCTATATTAAGTTTCAAGTAGGACTACAATTAGGTACATCTGTCTAAATAACGGCGTATAATGCCATCCATTATATAATGATTCGATTAAAAATAATAAATTTATAAAAAGAGTTATCTACGCCTATGGCAGATCAAACAAAATTGTCGGTAAGGGCAAGGAATGAGTTTTAATGTTCTGCAATTAATAATAGAAGAACTATACCCAATCAATAATTTAATTTATTTAATTTTAATAATAAAAACGGTACGCCCATGTGTGCGGTCCCTGTGAAGTAGGCTCTAGTTGGTTATTATGCCGTGTTGGATTGAGTCTAGAAAAAGTATAATTTTTTTTTAACAAATTTACCCATACTTTGTATTAAAATATCAACGGCACTGGTTCACATATAGGGTGATAGGTACCTATGGATGTACCTATGTACCAAGATTAATTACATGCGATACAGACATTAGGAGTTTTTACAATAAAATTAATATACCTATATACCTAGTAAAGTAAAATTTATTATTTCGGTAATTCTTAATTTTTAGGTAATTGTAATCTTCACATTGTTTTTAATATACATTATGAAATACTCTGCAACTATTCAGTACTATCTGGAAAATGGCAAGGAAGAAGGTAGTAATCAAATTTATACGTTAAAAGAGTATTGGGAGGTAGCAAAGAAGATTTGGTTCATTTTGTTAATAATATTTATCAACAGTGGCACAATGAATAGTGGGCATCCTAATATTACCAATTTGGTGGTTTCTGAAGGATATACAGGAACTGGGCAAAGCCTTTGGAATGGTGAGTAATTGTGGAGATAAGAGAGTTATAGTTTATAAATAAAAAATCAACAATAAATTAAAAATGAAAGGCGTTTTTGTAAATTCTTAGTGACAAAGTTGTAAATTGTTCCAATATTTCATTTAAATTCACCTTCAGCCTCTAGAAACCTGCCACCAATATACGGGGTTTTATTGTAACACATGTAGATATTAAAAAAGATGAATATTTAGACTTTTCTTGAGTGTGCAAAAAAAATATTTTCAAAAAATAACTGAAATTAACCAAAATTTGCGGTAAACCAGGTAAACGCCATTAAAGTGTCCCTAGGTTATGTATAATTTTATTCTAGATCACCTAATTCGACTTAGTCCTAATCAGACAACCAACAAGTATCGTCGTTTGCGTTGTTACCAAATATTGTTTACAAGTTTCGCGCCTTTTATGTTAGACAGATCGGTTTAAGGTTCCGGAAACAAAGTTTGTATACATTTTTTGGAAATTTCCAAATACATTTTAGTTACCCAACGAAATAATGAAAAATATTTTTAAACCCCCAAATGAAAACAAGTTAATTTAAATTAGACCTTAAGAAGTATTTTTTGTATTTTCTACGACTTTGATTTAATGTGTCCCTGTGGCTCGCATGTTGATTCTAGCTTCTGCTTTATCGCTGGTAGCTTTCAGTCGTTCCCGTTGACCTTTGTCCTGCCATTGCATACATTACATTTTTTACTCCAATCGGCTACATCCCGTCGGCAATTGACCCAATAAAATCTTTTCTAAACTCGTGCCGAGGTCCTTTTAGTATTAAAATGTTCTTTCGAATGGCTGCTATGAATATCCCTCAACTCTCATGTGTCATGTAATTTCGGCAGTACCACTTGGAGGACTACATGTACTCCATCTAAGCTCTCCCACTTCCGGTGCAATAGGTCATCGTGAAGATATAGTGAATCTCATTGAATTCAGTACCCTTTAATAGCTCCACTGTATTCGAAAATCTCTTGCCAAGTAGGTGTTACTTTATTTTTGAGACATTCTCTGACAACCTTTAAGTCATTCTCTTTCTTCTGTCCTTTCCTAAGGCATTCAAGGGTGATTTCTTCTTCTTCGCCCTCTGGCTTGATGGTGGTTGTCCGAAGAGTAACTTCAACCGGTTCTTCTCGTTCTCCGAGTCCTTTACTGTACCGGCATTCACGTTCTAATCAGGGTCGCCTGGAGAGAATGTCTACGTTGCTATGGAGATGGCCTCTTCGATGCTCTACTTCCTGGTTATTGCCAGAAAGCCGGCTAAGTGTGGGTGATTGGTTTCTTCGGGATGATTAGCTGCTGTAATTATTTCTTGTTAGACTTCTTGACGGGCTTCGAGAGATTGATCTATGTGACTTTCTGGCCTTATTCCCTGATTCTTGATTTATAGAGCGAGCCTTGCTTCTACATGTCTTTTAAAGGTGCCCGATTCTTCCGCAATTAAAGCATCTCCTGCTTCCATTTTGGCTGTTTCGTTGCATATTTTACAGCATGTTTATGATTTGTGAGAGTGTAGGTTAAATAACAGTATTAGTATTGGCCTCCTTACTTTTCTTGAATTTAATTTACCTTACTCTTGAGCGAGAAGATCTAGATCGGAGTTTTTCCGCTTGATATTCGTGGACTGCAATCAGTTTCTCTCTCAGCATCTTGTGATGTTGTAGACAAAGGGCTTGCTGAATTTCCATATTCTGTAGTCCATCAATAAATGCCTGCATTCCGATTTTCTCTTGGAAATCTTGGGGCGCCTGTGGATAGGCCAGATGAATCAATTTTCTTATGTCGACCTCGAATTCCTGTATACTCTTATTATGTTTCTGACTACGAACCTTTAGCTGATTTTGAAATACCCGTTTCAAATTTTGCTGTCCATACCTTGTCTCCAAAGCTTGGACGAGATATGAATAACTGGGTTCCCCTTGGCAAGGTTACTGTAAAGCCGTTGCTGCCTGTCCTCGCAGCAACACTATCAATGAAGCCGCCATCTCTTTTTCGGTCTAGCCATTGGCTCTAGCTACAGCTTCAAATTGGAGTCGATACATTTTCTATGTTGTCTGACCGTCAAATGTGGGTGAATTAAAGGTCTTGCTAGTATGGCTTTGTGAAACTAGGTTTTGAATATGACTTGGTTCGGTTATAGATGAGGACGAGATAGTGTTTGCAGTTTCTCTGTTACTTGCCAAAGCTAGGCTACGAATTATATTTTCTAATTCAACTAGTTTAGTTCTAATTTGCCTTTCTAACTCTATTCTAGCCGTTTCTTATTGTTTTAAACTAGTTTTTAAATTCTGCTGTTCTCTCTAAATAAGTTTTTAGATTTTCTTATTGCTGTTCTAAATTGGCTTTTAGATTATCTTGTTGTTGGGTTAAAACATCTACTCAGCTGTTTAGCTGACCTACCTCTTGCTTAAGATTTTCTTAACTTTGCAGCAAACTATTCATAATTGCTAGCTCAGGTGTCCTACGCCTCTCTTCCTTTTCCTCCTCTTCTTACTCCCTGCGTCTCTCCTTCTCTTCTTCTCGCCTTTCCTTTTCGTCCTTCCTGCGTCTTTTCTTCTCCTGTTCTCGTCTTTTCTTTTCCTCCTATCCTTTCTTCCTACGCTTTTTTCCTCCTCTTCTTCCTTCATACGCCATTCCTTTTCCTCCTCTTCTTCCTTTCTACTCCTTTCTAAGCCTTTTCTTTAAAAACCATGGTGGTGGGCCCAAAGTATCCATATCTCCTCAGCGGATCTAGTATTTACCATGAACTTGTATTTTGTATCCCACAGCTGTTACCAGTGTTACGCAGGTTTTTGGTATTTCAATTTTTTTCAACACAACTTTTATAATAACTATTTACGTTAGAGCATATTGCTCTAAGTTATCAACTGATAACATTACCGTATAACGTCTATCATAAAACTGACTGACTGACGTCAGGATCCACGAACTTATATTGCTTGATTTAACCTTCTAGAACCTTCTCGAACTGTTAAGCTTTTTCTTGACGTGGAATAACATTTTTCGAATATTCCCCCTTCTTCTTTTACTCGTTCCTTTACTTATGACGACCGCAACACGCTGCAGGGTGCTGCGTAACAATATTTTTGAAAATTATGATAATTTGCAAGCTCAACAGTCATAGGAGATCTTTGTAACCTTGAATACTTTTAATTATAGGATGTCAAAAACTGCAACAAAATATTACATATTGTTACGTTTGTTTAATTTATTTATAGTTTATTTATTTAAAACACTATTTACAATTTATATAGGACGTACTAATTAATTTATATAATACTTTGGCAAATCTGCCAGTCTGTCTGTACTGGTAGTTTCTAGACGCCCTCGAATGTCCGAAAATTCCATCTCTATACGTCAGCGGAATACCCAGAAGATTCCGGTGATTCGACCATGAGTCGTTTGGCAGACTTTAATGTCGCTCTCTACAGAGACGGCTTAGGCATTTCCACGCCAATATATAAAATTCAGGAGATTCGACTGAAAGCCATTTACCATAAGGAAACTGCGGAGTCCTTCTAATTCTAAAAAAAAATAATTCAGAAAAGAATTTAATTATAACTGGTTCCTATTAGTAATTAGAATTAACTAGTTTTAATTTATTATTGACTGAGGAAGTTTCTGACAATAAAAATATATTGATTTCAATTTTATTTCTACCAATATGGTGTCTCTCACAAATATGTAATTCTGTAAAATTTTATAATTAAAATATTTTTTCTCTGCTGTTTCAATATTTTTTAAAATGAGTTGTAGTTTTTACAAAATTTGAGAAACTTCCTAACTCATCTCTAAAATATTTTGTTTTCTTTTTCAGATAAATATTTTGTCGTCGTAGCAACTTATTTGTTATTTGACATTTTCCAAATAATTGGAAGATTATGTGGGCGTACAGTATTAAAGGTATGTAATTGTATTTTTTATTCTTAAAGCATTCTTTTTATACAATGCGCAAATTCGATAAAATCTTTATTGGCAAGTAAGGAATTAATATTCGATTTTACTTTTTAGATGAGCTTATTTCGGTAAACGTACAGCTATTGTTTTATCAGAAAATTCTAAATATTTTCATTATCAGTGCTGTAATACAAAATTATTCTTACTAGTAACCTCCGTATTCCAGTAACTTTTTCGACTTCACGATTTTTTAAAAATTTACCACCAGAGTCGCGAAGCTGTGATTGGAGGATGTTATATACATTCTAGAGTAAATACTCATGTACTGATATAGAAAAACCGAGTACAATAATTTTAGTTCAATATTATTCTTCTAAATTTTACAAAAAATTACATCAAAATGCTCTAAAAATTTACAAAATAATACATAAAAAATATGCAATTCAAGGAAAAATTAAAAAACGATACTCGTGGGAACTGATATTTTAGACATAGCAACTCTGTGGGCCTGTTCTCATTGGCAAGGTCAATGATACATATATGTATAGATTGCTCAAAGCATGTAATGATTTCCATCAAATTTCAAATGAATTAAATTTTATTTAAATTATAAAGAGCAATATTATTGTGTGCATAGTTAATTTTAAACATTTTTGGTTAGGGTATATTTTTACACACAAAAGCCATTAGAAGAAAGGGACTAAACCTAAACTGAAATGGAAGGCTAATGGTAAGATTTTAGAGCATTATTAGCAATTATCATTTAGTATTATTAAATTAATTGTAGCTTTGTCCACCCTATATTTAAAAGCCAATGAGATGATTTCTTACAAGCATTAAAAACAACCAAGAGCAGAAAAAGTCAAAATGCTTTTACTAAAAGAACATAAATTATTCAAAGAATGTTTTCTATAGGAATTTTTTTTTAAAAAATGAGTTAAAAATCATTTTAAAGAAGAAAATGAGAAAAATTTCTAAAGCATTCACGATAAGATATTTGAGTAAAAGGTGCCTCAGAAATTCTATGATTTGGGTTTTTGGATGACGTTAGAAAGTGATGGGCATGTCTTGAAATTTCGAAGACTGAATTGCAGTTAATAACAGTTTGTTCAATGTCCAAATTTTACTAAAAGGAATACTAGAAACTGACAAAATATATTTTTATTTTCGATATAAATTTACATTGTTTCTTCTAAACTCCAGCAGGCCTTTGTTTTCGTCTATAAAATTATTAGTAACTACTTTTTACTAACTGTAGCAAACTCAATAATGTGGGTGCTTTTAGTAAAACCCTTTGACTTTCCTTGCTCTTGGCTGGGTTTAATGGTTGTAAGAAATTATCTCACCTGATTTAATAATAGTAAATGATATTTGCAGAATAATACTCTAAAATCTTACCATAAGCCTTTAATTTCAGTGTATGCTCGGTCTCGGTTATTTTCTCTCAATGGTTTTTTATTGTGTGTAAAAAATGACTAAAAATTATTTTCCAAGCCAACAACAATGTTCCAGGATTACCAAAATTTCAAAATAATTCAGGATTTAAACAAAATGTGATCCAAATTCGGCTCGGAGGCCATACCCTAAACTAAAATGATTAAAATAAACCATTCACACAATAATGTCTCTTTATAATTATTGAAATAAAAAGTAATGTTTCTCTTTATAAATGAAATAAAAAGTAATTAATTTGAAATTTGATGAAAATCATTACATCCTTGCTGTGTTGTAGCTTGTCTTTTAAATACCGATATTATTAAAACTCTAACACTTGAACATGGTAAAAAAATACAAATATAGACACCACTAAATATTAATAATAAAATATTAGGTTTTTAAAAACTCAATGTACGACCCCAAGTAAAAGATTTTTTGTTAACTCACTTTTTCATTCTGTGACGTAACGTGGCGAGGCAACCGTTTAGTCCACGAACAGTGACCAGTCATTAGTTACGGGGAACCGTTTTGTTTAAAATCCCTAATTATAAACCCGTATTTGTTTAAAAACCATTTTAATTAAAAGATTCATGTTTTATTATATTTATAGTCTGACTAATAAAATCGCAATATCGTCGCCCTAAAAGAAAAATGCCTATTTCCGTTTTGAAAAATTTTACAGGAAAAAAGAAAAACGTTATTTTTTAACAAATACATTATTACTGTTTTTCTTCACATCTAACACATATAACTTTGAATGTAACACAAAAAAATGGTTCCCACGCTTTCTTCTTTTAAATAAAAGTGTGGGGCTAGGCAAATTTCTTTTTGGCAATTGTCAAAACGGAAATTTCTATTATTTCAATTTAAAATTAACCGGTTAAGTTGACACTAAAATTTTGTCAGAATTTGGCTTAACTGTTATTCTAATAGATGATATATAAATCCCATTTTCGCAAAAAAGTGGAGTTAGGCACTTTTCTTATTTACAAGTTACAAGTAATTAAACAGAAATAATAAATAAAAAACTTCAAAACTACTACTATCATACACCAGACACCAAAAAAGGTGCATTATTAAGGTCTATTCTCACTATAGGTCAAGCTCCGATGAAGTCACGGTCCAGTCAGGGTCCGATCAAAAATGATTTGTCATAATTTTAATGCTTTTGAATGAGATTTCTTTTAAACTGCTCACACATACTGGTCATTGAACAAGCAAGCCACGGTCAAGTCACGGGCCGCTCATTTACAACAATATTTGACCGTTGACGCGTAAACCGTCTAGTGTAAATTTTTTTTTTATCTGAAAACGATCTTAAACGTACTGAAAGTTTTTGAGCTGCGGAAAGTTTTTCATGCAACGTAAAAAATTTGCCTTCGATTTTTCTTTTTTTAAGCATTGGATGTACCCAAAATCTTATTTTTCTTTTATTTTTTGAATGAAGTTGAAAATATTTTATAAGATTTCGGATCGCGATGCAACAAGCAAAAATAGTCTGAAAAAAAAACACTCATTAACGATTGCCTACAGTACGTTGGAAAAACTGGTCGAATGTGACGATGACATAACCCGATAGTGTGAATGCTTTTAAAAAGATTTGATCGTGACCGGACCGTGACTTGACCGTGCCTTGTCCTGCTAATGTGGATAGACCTTTTACTCTGTAAAATCATACGGTGCGCATTCGAAACTATGCCCAATCTGGCCAGAGTAAGTTTCAGAAAACGTCTACATTATACATTCTGTAGTTTGTAGTTTGTACAAATAGTAGAGAATTATTGACATTAGGTGTATAAGAAAATAAACACACATAAATAAAACTGACCTGTCAGAGCATTAATTTCTTATTTGACCAATAAATATTTCATCGAATTTGTTGAAATCATACGTGATAACTGTTTTTAAATTTATAGATTATTTTCAAGTTCTTACGAAATTATTAAACAAAATGCATTTCTTTTTCAATAATTAATTTTCTTTTAATGAAACTACAGATTTGTATATTAATAACTGATTTAATTGACACCAAAATAAATCAATTCTTTATAATTGACCTTTTAATACTTCATTTTTAACATATTTTCTTTATATTGTCTATAAGTCATATATTAGCTTCTCAAAACAAGTATAACATGCGTATACATGTCGAAAATTAAGTGTTAAACAATAATTTTCTCTCTGCTGTTTTTTTTTTGGTTATAATGCAATGCTTGTTCCGCTGTTAGCCAAAGAAGTAGTTGTTATGCAGAAAGAAACGGCCGCTAGTAAAAACTTACCTTCATTTTTAGTCATTATTATATCAAATACTACCATAACCTTCTCTTCTCTACTCGTGTTTGTCAATTTACTAATTGCATAATGGAAATGTTAATAATCTGTAATGAAATGAAAATAATCTGCATGGTATTGAAAGTAGATAAATATATATATTTTTTTTTTATTAGAAAAAGACTGCAATATATTTTATCCTGTTTGCGCTCTTCAGAAGTTTCGTATTGACACCATTGTTATGGTTCTGCAATGCCCAACCAAGGAGTCATTTGCCTGTACTGTTTCCTCATGACTATCAGTACATGATAATCCTAGCTATTCATAGTTTTACAGGATCAGCGTTTTTGGCCATATGCTTCTTAAGTATACCATTGTAAGTATTTTATGAAAAACGTATTTCATGGAGCCATCTTTTTATATACCTATATGAAGTATGATTTTTTTTTCAAGTTTTAAACTAAATTAAATTAACCGGTCTCCAATCTTCCTCAGACATCGGAGGAAAAAAAAGAAGACTTAAAAGTAATGGTGCTAAACTAGCCCTCCTATCATTTTCAAATAAAATTTCAGATACAATCAACCTCCAATTTTCAACCCAGGCAATAATCGAAGTCAAAAGTATTTATTTAAAGAAAATGTAACTAAATGATATAAAAATATGTAATATAAAGAACACGAAAAGCGAAGGGGAAAAAGGTATAATAGTGGACGCATTGAAATAGGTAGGAGAGGAACAAACAAATATACTAACTAATAACGAACATCTGGAAGAAGACGGTGCCAGAGGATTAGAAAACAAGAGTAATATGTAATAAGTCGAAGCTGATCTGGAAATGCATTGGAATACGTAATAGTTACTCACAATATTTAGGATTATAAATAGATACTTTTTATTGTATACAAACATGCATATTATGATTCAGTGAATAAAAGAAAATTGTATGAAACCTTTTCAAATACAAAAAAAAATTGTAAACCTGACTACATATTTTAAAATTATAAGAAAATTAAACCAAGAAGATCCTCTATCGATATTATTGGTAGTTAACGTTTTGTACTCCAGTAGTCATTAGTTAATTGATGACACTGATGTCTAGCAAGAAAAAGGAACAAGCTGAAGAAAGTATTTATTACGATTGAACAGAAATCAAGTGATTATGGATTAAAAATAAAAGAAAAGGAAGATAAAATTCGAAATACGAATAAAAGAAAACGAATCAAGAATAAATATAAACAAAAAACAGAGGCTATTTTTATAACTGGTTAAATTTTGAAAAAGGTCAAACATACGATTATCTGGATGTTGTACTAACAAGAAGTTTCCAGGAAAAAGTAGAAATTGAAAAATTAATCATCAAAAAAAGTATAGCAATGGTAAAGTCTGGGGTTATACAAGAAAAACAAAAATTAGGGTGATGAATATTATAAGACTGGACTATGAACAAAATAAAACAAAGAAATTGGAGGATTTTTGGGGGAGTCAAAAATAAAAATAGGAAATGGCGAAAGATGGAAACTAAAGAAGTAATAGATACATGGAATAGCCCAATTTTTACCAGGGTAATAAAAGCTCAGAGAGCAAAAAGGTTAAACATGTCCAAAGAAAATATCACGCCAAGCATGTTAAGAAAGCATTGTAGATGGACAAGGAAGGCCAAAGAAAAATGGCTAGACTCGATCAAGATGAACTTAAAAGAGCTGGGAGTTAAAAATTGATAACAAATAGAAATTATGAAGCTATGAAGTACTTATAGACAGGTACGAAAATTTAAACTATGTTTTACCATGAATTAGGCGGAAACGTGAACCAAACAAAGACCGCTAAGAAGCCCGAAGCGTCTGGCACACGGTACGTCCGACATCCACCTCACCTCCACTTATCTCGTCTCTAATAGATTTGGCTTAGCATAGATGATCTGCATTCAAATTTCCGTACCTGCATAAATATTGTAATATTCCCAAGATTAAAATTACCATAGAGTTTCAGATTAATAAAATAAAATAATAATGAAGATACAATTTCATATAATTTAAATACAAGGGTGACTTCATGAATACATACTACCGAGTGTCATGGCAACCATGCAATACTCTGTGAGTTTTTACAACATAAAATAAATCTCGTTTTTTTTTAGTATCGCTGAAGAGAAAACAGAACAGGCTCTTATATTGGGAATGGGTGTATCAACAATATCATTAACCATAACTAGTCCTCTAAGTCCAGTATATGTTAATTTATTATGACAAAAATAAATAGTTTTAGATAACTTAGTAGTTTTATTAGTTTTATACAAAGTTTTCAACAATTTCCGTATTCCACGTGGTCGAATTGAATTCAACAATTGGCTAACAGTTAAATTCCTGACTTCAGCAGTAACCCCAAAATAATACCGCCAACATATTTGACAGAACTGGCAATAAAAGTCACTAAAAAGAGGTTATCTTTATTTTATTTTTTATTTTCCCATATCTCGTGGGTAACGGTTGTTGTTGAAGGGTGTTTCCGAACTTGGCGTCCAAATTTGTAGAGGTGGTAGGTCGCATAATTTGAGACCGATTCGCAGATTTCATTTTTCCAAAAAATTTAAAATAAAAATAATTAAAAATTAATTAAAATTTAAAAACAGGTACGGACCTCGCCTCGACTCGCGCTATACGCTTAGAATCGACAAAATTGCAAATCGCATCTGTTTTTGAGGATTATTGCGCTACGCGCTTAGGGTAGGACCTGCTCTTTGATTTTTTTTATAATGGCTCTATTTTGTTTATTATAATTTTTTTAGAAAAATTAAATCTGCCAATCGCTCTCAAATTATGCGAACTACCACCCCTACAAATTTGGACGCCAAGTTCGGAAACACCCTATATAGAATGTTTTAATGAACCTATTTTTTAGTACCAGTAGCGAAATGTTATTTTATGTAATGAGTGATTATTATATAAACAAGTTAAATATAACGGCATTTCGTAACGTGTATCATACAATATTGTCAGGTTTGTGTTGTCAAGAAGCTGGATCGCCTCAACGTTTACATATTTCTAAAATACTTTCTGACATGTATAAAACCAGTAACTCTGGTTATGGCTGCGGAAGTAGCATATTCAGTTTATATTTTAAGCTATCAACATCGAGAAAGACGGCTAAACATACTTCTTTGTTTTGAAATGCTTTTTTAATCGCATTTGGGATTCTATGAACCTGATCTATAGTTGAATTGTTTTTTCTTAAGCCGAACTGATAATCTGGAATTAGTTTTCTTTTATCAATGACGGGCTTCAGTCTCTTCATTGGTATTTTTCAAATAATTTCAGTAATATTGGCAATAGAGATATTGGCCTGCATGACGAAATTTCGTATGGATATTTTCCTTCAGCTACTTTCTACAACCTAGAGACATGCCATAGTTTGAATAAGGCATTAAACATGTGTGTGAGTTTAATTACAGCTTTCTTCGAAATTTGTTTTAAAATTTCTCCTTTAATTAAATCATACTCAGGAGCTTTTATAGGATCAGTATTTTTTTATATCTTTTGAAATTTCCTTTGGAGAGGTTGGTTTGATGATTGAGTCCCTTTGGAAGATCCCAGTTCGGTAATTCTTCTCATTCATTTGGTTGGAAGGTATTTTGTTAGTACTCTGTAAATATATTAACTTTTTGTATGTTATTTTAGCCCAGCTGCCAGCTGTATTTCTGGTTGGAGCATTCTGCACATTGGGCCCATTCAATCGTTTTGTGGCTTTTAATAGAAAATAATCAATGGCTTTATCGTTTTTCAATTCACTAAGGTGCTCACTAACAGATTCATTTTATCTTTTTTTTGTAACTGCTGGGTGGCGTTGTTAAGTTTATCTGATGGAGCTCTGATCTGATGCCATTTCCTCCTTAGTTTTCTTTTTGCAGAGATTATGTACCTTATTTCTTTAGGATAGTTATTTTCTGTTGTTCCCTGAATAATATATGGGGCATTATCCCATGCTGCTTGCTGTATATTCTTGCCAGTCTGTTCTCCTGTTTATTAGTCTAAGAGCTCTTTTATTTTGGATAATGGTATCACTAAGAGTAAAAAGAATGGGTTAATGATCTGAATTTATATCCCAAGCCTCATCAACTTGGATGTAGTTTGTTAAAACAGTCTATTAGGTCGGGTCTTTTATTTCTATCTGTGGGCCGATAAGTTGGTTTGCCAGTGGAATACGACTCATATTTTAGCTCTGTCATTGCTGTGTTATCCTTATTTGTTGTTAGTATTGAGACCCAATGGGTGTGTTTTGCATTGAAGTCGCCTCCAATGATAAATCTAGGTCCTTGACTATTAAGGAAGCCTAGGTATTGTTCTTTAACAGTATGTCTTGGAGGACAATATGAGCAAAGGACAAGTGGCCACATGGACAAGTGACCATAACATCTTAAGTTTCCGATTTTAACATTACTGATGTAGCATGAAATTCTTCAGTCCCGTATCCCGCTTCTTGATGATTCTTAATTGCTTCTCTAATTATTACTTCGTTAACCCCTCATGCTGTATGTTGAGGATGAATGGTGTATGATAAACAATTTATTCCTTAAATTTAATAAAGGACTCATCGGTAAAGTGAGTCTCCGAAATTGGGCATATGTCTATGTTTTCTATGTCTAGGATTGCTTGCAATTCTTGTTGGTGCTGCAGCAGTCCATTGACAGTCAATTCCATTATTATAAGGCTATTACCCATTATATTGTCTCTTAGGTATAGCTCCTTTGCTACTGTATTCTAACCTAGTAATTAGTTCATCCATTATGTTCAGCTTCTCTAATATTTGGTGGAGAGTGTTAATAATGGATTGATTGTTATCTATTTTATCTTTCTTTTTACCAGATACCGTCTGGCTGAATAATCCAGATGTGTCTATTATATTGTTTCTAAGAACAGGCTTGTGTTGGATTATTCGCTATAGCTATTTAGATAAGTTTTATTTTTTGCTGTGCTATTATTTTTGGCATTTCCTTGGCTACTTCACATTCCCTGTAACCAGCAGGATGTCCTTTGCCACAGTGAATGCATTTGGGAGGAGCATCTTTCGGTTTCACATAATTAAATGTTTCTCTATGGATCTTACACAGAGGCTTTTTAGCGCAGTACCTTTGAGTTTGTCTGAATGCCTGACACTTTTTGCTTTGACGTACTAGAATGTATTTTCTGAGAGGTACAATTTCTACGTAGACTCCCATAATTTCTATGATTCCATGTATTTGTTTAACACTTTCGTCGTGTTGAAATGAATGCATGAACATATTCAATAGTTGTTTAGTCCTATATTTTAGTTTTGGAGTCCTTCTATAATATTAAAGCCACGACTTTTCAAATTATTCTGGTTCAGTGGTGCAGTTTATATACCATTAATTTAATTAGTCTATTCTGTTTCTCTTCATGTGAGTATCAAGTGTACTATTGTTCTTCTAATGGTCCAGAAAGCATTCTATATTCTGGTGCTTCCGGAAAGTTAATTTTTACATTATTGTCGTTGATGAATTTAATTTGGGAGTTTGGGATTTGTCTTACCATACTATTTATTACAGTTTTGGACGTTATCCACTATAATATCATTAATCACCTTAATATTGACATTTTTTCTATTGTAGTGCTGTTATTTTATGTACACCTTACCACAATTTAAACTTGACCCACTTTAATCGAAGATGCGAATAAATAAAGTACATCCGATACCGACAAATGTTAGCTGACACTGCATTCTGTTCAGAATGAAAAAAAAATCCTGTATAGGTTTGAATGCATAAAGAAATATATTATATAAGTTATAAGCAAATATTTTGAAAACGATTTATACCGAAAACATTACAGACTAAGATCCACCGACCGCCAGACCCATGTTATAATACAAAAATTAAGATTTTACCAGGAACAACTCTTTGGAATTTAAAATATAATCCAAACACTTTAAAATAAATATATACAGTAATAGTGAGACCAATCATTACTTCCAGGTCTGTAGCGTGAAGTAACAGAACTAATTTAGCTTCTACGAGAGCTAATATAACATCAAAGTGGAAAGACTATCCCATCCTACGGCCACAATGGCGGTGATCTTACATCTCATCCCTTTTCATTTAATGATAGAGAACAGGGGCGTGCGGTCCATGGAAGCGGGGGAGGCACCGCTTCCCTACACTTTGAGATTTGAAAATAAATATTTTTCAGTTTAAAATGCATAGAAATTAAAATTAAATTAGGTACTATATTTTTTCTAAAACATTACGTAAACTTCGTAAATGTACTAACAATTCATTGGTGTAATGTGTAAACGCATGCACCACCCATGAGAAAATTTATTGTGTAAACGCCCACACCATATAGGTACTTCAAGTCCGTCGGCAAAAGCGCCTCTTGAAAAAGCCGGCTCATCTTCCAATTGATTTCGCTTTGTGTTATTGACCCTGCTTTGCCGCGACACAGTAGTCAGTCTGTGAAATACGGTCGAGAGGCAGCGATTTTTACGTCGCCTTACGCATATTGCAATTCGCCACGCGAATCGACGTGTGAGGAAAATCGTAGACTTCAATTAGATTTCGGTTGATTTTTCGTAATTGTTTTTCTTTTTTTAAAATGGAGGAACTATGCACTCTGTATGTGAACAATAATAATGTGGTAAATTGTGTCTGTATTGTGTGCTCTTTATTGAAAAAAGGATTTTCAAGTAGAAATTTTGAAGAGAAAACGGACATTATTAATTTTAGTAGACTAAAGGATCCTATCAATTTAGAGACGAAAGTAAAAAAGTCAGCAAAGAAATTTACTAGGCATTTCCACGTAGGGTTCTATGAAAAGTATGAATGGTTAATCGGCTCCAAAACTTTGAAGAAATTGTTTTGCTAGCCTTGCCTACTTTTTAATATAGCCGAAAAAATACATTGGAACTCAGTCGGTATTACAGACTTGAATCATTTCCACAAAAGTGTAAAACGACATGTAGATAGCAAATCTCATATAAGTGCTACAATTAAAGAAAAAACATTCGGGACCTATCGCATTGAACATATTTTGGACAATCATTTAAAAATAAGCAACAAAATTCACAATGAAAGGGTAAACAAAATAGGGACGTCTTACAACGATTAATAGATGTAACTTGTTTCCTGGAAGAGCATGAACTAAGTTTTAGGGGGCACAATGAAGCAAGTAAATCCGCCAATCGAGGAGATTACATGGACCTTCTAAGTTTTTTAACAAAATACGATGATACCCTAAAAA